TTAACGACTAAACAACAACAACAACAAACAATCCTTAGAGCCTGGTGTAAGTGGCTGTCATGACTTTCTTGGTACTTTCCTTTGAATACTGGAAGCCTGAAGGAAAATGGAGAATTCTTGCTTTCATTGGTGCAACAACATGAACAAGTGCAGTTCAGAACAAATGTTTGTCTTTTCCCCTCTTTTCTTTGTAACTGCATTTCTCTGGACTTCTTCCTGCACATCTGGGCATCATTCCAACCCAGCACTAGTTTATATTTCTAACCAGTTGAATCATCTTTGGAGGTTCTCCCAAGGATCTGAGCCTGCTTTTTCTTAGATGAGGCTGACAGCCTAATAATGACCTTTCCTATCCCAAACCCTATATTTTCCTTGTCTTGCTGGTAACTCTTGTTTATCACCACTAGAGCACTGAGAATGCTTCTTTGTCATGTCCCAGTCACGTGATTCTGATGATTAGAAACTTTCCTCCACTCCTGGCCCCCCAGTCCTGTGCATCCCTAAAATGATGATGACAATTGATAGGGCAGGCTAATAAAAATCGACTCAAGCTAATGTGCCGTTGGTTAAAAACATCACAAGAAACAAAACAGAACTAAATGCAATAACAGACTGTTAGGAGACTGCTGGAGGCACTACAGAAAAAATTAATGTGGGACCACAAACTGCTCTGGGCCAAGGTCTTCTCAAAACACCATGTTTTTGATGCTTTCCTGAAGAACATCTGGGTGGAGGCCAGATAGGTCTTAGAGGGAATGTTATTCCAGAGGGCAGGGGCAACAATAAGGAAGGTATCCCTCTGGAATTCCACTAGGCGGCATTGATTTGTTGATAGACTCAGAGTATGCCCCCCCCCCAAATGTTATAGGATGGGCAGAGACAATGATAGAAAGGTGGTCCCATAAATAATCAGGGCCCAAGCCATGTAAGGCTTTATAGACAGCAACCAGAAACTTGAATTGCACTCAGAAATCAACTGGCAGCTAGTGCAGCTCATGAACTAGAGGAGTCAGATGGGCATATCAAATTCTGTACCAGCTGTAGTTTCTAATAGTCCTCAAGGAGACTCCCATGTAGGATGCATTACAGTAGTCCAAACAAGACATGACTAGACAGAGAGAGATAGGGTCTTTACCTCTTGCCACCAGCCTCTGTAACCACTAGTTACTAATGGCTCTGACAGGATGAATGGCTAGGCTGATTTGGGGACTGCTACAACTTCTTCACAGCTGGACTTCTGAGCTTCCTGCCTCTGCTTAGTGGTGAATGGATGATGTTTCTATAACATTATCAATATCAGTTGTTGGAGAGAGCCAGTTTGATCTAGTGGTTAAGGCACCAGGCTAGAAATCAGGGGACTGTGAATTCTAGTTCCACCTTAGACATGAATGCCAGCTGGGTGACTTTGGGCCAGTCACTCTGTCTCAGCCCATGATGTCAGGCTTGGGTGACAAGCTGGTTGGTAAATTCCTGCCACAGCCAACAGATCAACATCTGGTTGACCCGAAAAAGCGGACCCTGCACCTGTGGGAAAATGCTAGGAAGAAAAAAAAATCAATATCAGTTGTTGAAATATCAGTAGTTACACCAACTACTGAAATATCAGTAGTTACACCAGTCTTAATTTCAAGCTCAAACAGTTCCTAGTTCCAAGGTCATACCCTATTTTTACTACCTACTTGAAAAGTTGCTTCGTATTTTCACTATGGGCCAAAAGTAGAGTTTGGCATCTACTTGCAAGCATTATTGGAAAAATCCAACATTCCAGGTGCATATCAGATCTTCCAAATGTAATTAAATTACATTTAATTAAAAGGATCAAAATGTATCTTGGCCAGATAAATTGTTTCCATGTTTGTAATTTAACAACAGACCTTTTCTTAGCCTTTCCCACCCCCACCCCCACTCCAGGATAGTCAGTATGAGGTATACATTTTCTGCAAACCAAATTTTCAGATATGTATAAAGTTCCTTTTTATTACTTTTTCATGGATGAAATCAATGGCTGTTAGTTAAAGGAATTCCAGTATCAGAAGCAATCAAATTCTTGCTATCAGTTGCTGGAAAGTACAAGGAGAAGGCCATTGTAATATTCATAGTCTTCTAATGGATTTAGCAGATGAACTTTTAATGGCAGCAGCAATCTCTTTCCTAAGGTAATTTTTTTAAAATTTGGCAAGTTTATTGTTATTGGTATTAAAAACATAATGTCTACCTAATCTGACTGCTAAGATCAGAATCATGCAAGCCATGGTATTCCCTGTAACACTCTATGGAAGCAAAAATTGGATTGGAAAAATTGAAGTAAGTTAGGAAGAATATTGACACCTTTGAACTTTGGTGTTGGAGAAAATTCCTGAGAACAGCCAAGAAAACAAACCAATGGATCATCAAACAAATCAACCCAGAGTTCTCACTTGAGG